TTATTAAAAGAAACAATACACTTTCCCCCTCTAATGAACTCAGAGAAGTTATTTTAGATTCTCAGCTGCAGGCACAAATTCCCTTGAATGAATTGTAAGATTGGAAATACTCCCCCCAAAAGCCATGTTGTTGAAGATATTCATGTTTAGTCTGTTTTGTATGCTGTATTGCTGAACTATTCTGAGATTAAAGGTCCAAAAGCACTCATATCTCATACATATGTATTTTCTATAAAAACAGGTGAAGCATTTGGAAACTTTTCAACTGTTGATAGAGGATATGCTATGGTCATTTACATATTGTGATCTTTCTTTGATGTTACCAGGTAGAAAGAGATACAATTTAAGACATTCCTGCCACAATTCAATAGGAGCTACACAATACATGTTATATCTTAATAATCCCTAGTCTCACATAATCATAGTCTCACAGTAGATTTTATTTATTGTGTAATATAATTATCTGAAATAGTATTCTCAGTGTATGTTTCCAGTGTACTTGTACAAGGTGAACCAAATGTCACAAAGGTATCTGATGATTTAATGACTTTTTGGAAACATATTGAAAAGATTTTACTCATAATATAATGCAATTTTATTTCCAGCTAGCTTGGGTACCCGGCAACATCCAAGTTATTTGAAAAAGTTTTTGGACATTAGGTAATATCAGTTTGGTAATTTGTAATGCTATCTTTTTAGAATAAAAAGTCAGACTTTCCTTTTGTTTTTTTATGACTGCTACCATTAGAAAATACATAAGGATGTGGGTGAACTATACTTCCCACAAATTGTAGGTCAATCACCCCAATCCCACCAGTATTAAAAGTTGGCCGTGTTGGGCCTGTGTGCCCAGTTTGGTCCAGGTTCGTAATTAGTGTAGTTCAGAGCGCTCTCTGGATGCAGGGTTGGAATCCCAACTTTGAAGCCTCAAAATCAAACACCCTCCACACAAATCATATAATGAAAATTCAGTGATAGGGTCACCTTCAGTCATAAATTATTTGAAGGTACAAAACAACATAAACTCTAGGTTTTAAATTGGCAAGGTTTTTGAATGAAAGAGAAGCTCTGGTTTGCAAACTGGCAAGATTTTACCTAAAACAAGAGTTATGATTTGTTACCTTCAAACATTTTATCAGAAGTTTTATTAACAACCTGGCACATTCATATTCATATTTTGCTTAGCCTCTGATTAACCCAAGGAGACATTCTTAAATTGGAAATTGTCCCCAGGGCTGAAAAGGCCTCCTGGATCTGGTAGGTATGCTAATCAAAGGTGGTGAAGCAATGGGTATACGCTTATCACTGAAATTAGCACATAAACAATTCTTCATCCTATTACAGTTGTTTTGGGGGGCATCACTATGTTTTTCTCATTGAATGAGCCCTGCACTTACGTTGGATCAGCTTTGGAAGGGGCAGGCACAAGTTCAGGAAAGGACTCAGTACCATTGTCTGGTTTTCCTTTGAATTAATGGGGTCACAGTTGAGAATCACCAGTCATTTGTCAGTCAGGGATATTCTTGAATGCAGCCTGGTTCAGTGTATGACATCTTTGCAGGCAACACATGCCTTTAATATTGATTGTTTTGTACCTCAAAGCAAAAAAAGAATGAAACTATGATACTGTTGTAATCTTGCCATCTCTTTTCTGCCTTCTTGGTTTGTTTGCAGTAATGTAATAGCTTTTAAGGGCAGTAGACACCAAATGTGGTGAGAATTAAAAGGTTTTTTTTCTTCAGCTCCATTTATTATAATGTCCAATATTTTTAGAGTGTGCTTCATGGAATGCTGTAATTGACAATGTGTTAGTGAAGTAAAAATTGAAATGTAAAATTGAAAATAAAAATAAGCATCAATTATTTTAATTATTATAATAATAATAACTTTATTTTGATACCCCGCCAACCATCTCCCCTAGGGGACTCTGGGCGGCTTACAAGGGACACGCCTAAGATTACAATTAAAGCACACATGTAAAACACTTTAACCAATTAAAACATCAGATAAAACAAATAACAACACAATAGAAAGCAATATAAAAACAATATGGCTGGAAGAAACATAGCTGAGGTACAGATTCAATGAGTGCAATACATTTTTACAGGAGCACAGGAAAGTGCAACAATACGGTAAACTGGGCAGGAAATACTGTCATAACACATATTGAGGCAAAACGTATGCCAGTGTAAAGTGCGGGCCGGTGTAAAGTGCGGAACTTCAAATAGGGGCAAGAAAATTACTGGTGAGCTGCTTAATCAAAAGCGCACCAGAACATCCAGGTTTTTAGTTGACTACAAAAGGAGGACAAGGTGGGAGCCTGTCTGATCTCCCTAGGGAGAGAGTTCCAGATCCGGGGGGCCACCACCGAGAAGGCGCTCTCCCTCGTACCCACCAACCATGCATGTGATGGCGGGGGGAAAGAGAGCAGTGCCTCTCCAGATCTCAAGGTTCATAGGGGAAGATACGATCGCGAAGATAAACAGGGCCCAAACCGTTTAGGGCTTTATAGGTGAAGACCTGCACCTTGAATTGGGACCGGAAACTTATTGGAAACCAGTGGAGCTGTTTGAACAAGAGGGTTGACCGCTCTCTGTAACCAGCTCCCGTGAGTAGTCTGGCTGCAGATTTCTGGACCAACTGTAGTTTATGGGCAGTCTTCAAGGGCAACCGGGCCCAATTCAAAGTGCTGGCTTTGGCCTATAAAGCCCTAAATGGTTCTGGCCCAACTTACCTGTCCGAATGTGTCTCTCCTTACGAACCATTGAGGACTCTAAGATCGTCTGGGGAGGCCCTGCTCTTGGTCCCGCCTTCGTCTCAAGTACGTTTGGCGGGGACGAGAGACAGGGCCTTCTCTGTGGTGTTCCCTCGGCTATGGAACACCCTCCCTAGGGAGATTAGATCTGTTCCCTCCCTCTTAACATTTCGGAGGCAAGTTAAAACATGGCTGTTCAAACAAGCGTTTGCAAATGCAGAGTAGCTAATATAGGAAATCGAACTATTTGACAATGGAACTGGACAATGCTTGATAATAATGAGACTCTAATGGTGTTGTTTTTATTGCTTTTGTGGTGTTTTATATTATTTAATGATTTAATCTGTATTATGTTTTTATATGTACTGATTTGTTGGAATCCGCCTTGAGTTGCCGATTGCCTGAGAAAGGCAGTATACAAATACAGTAAATAAATAAATAAAACCCTATGTAGAGTGCATTGCAATTTGTGCTTGAAATACCTCAGGATGACAAGTGTCCATCTGCATCACTTGGAGAAGTCACCACACATGAATGTTATGCATGAAGTGCAGTGCTTATATATGTAGTGTGACTTAGGTTGTCAAGGCAGTTGTTAATGAGGTGATACAATAGTATACTTAATTAAAATGTCTCTATAAAAATAAAACAGATGGCAAGGTTAATCAGATCATTTTTTCCCTAAAGACTGTCAGCTAAATGATTTAGACTATAACCTTTATTGCACCAATTTTGTTAGTTGGATAACATAGCAATTCTCCATGTGAAACAGAATATGTATTGGGATTGCATAATGGAACTGCATACAATTTAAAAATGTATGCGACAACTAGGGCTCAGTAAATATACAATATACTAGCAGCTTGTTGTTGTGTGCTCCCAAGTTATTTCTGATTTATAGCAATGTTAAGGCAAACCAATTATGGGTTTTGTTTTGTTTTGCAGAATTTGTTCAGAGGTGGTTTGCTCTTTCCTTCCTCCGAGGCTAAGTGAATGTAACTTGTCCAAGGTCACTCAGTGGGTGAACAGGGATTCAAACATTGGTATCCCAGTGTCCTAATCCAACAATCCTAATCAAACAATCAAACCAGTATACCGTGTTAGCTCTCATTAGCTACTTAGGATTGCAAAAGGGAGGAATTGAGTTGTCAGGCTCTGATGTGATTCTTACGTGCCTTTATAATATAACGTGTATAACACTGTATATCATTGTAGTCTAAAGCAATAGGTCTATTTAAGGTAACTGAAAATGCAGAACTAATGATTTTATTCCATTAGACTGAGGATGCTACACATCATGGCAAATTAACGGGGGTCCTGGTGGGGGGCATGTGCTATGCCCCTTATTATGCGGCTTACTTCAACCCCCATCCCATGGGAGAGAGCATCACCACCCAGCTTCCTGCCATTGCTCCTAAGGCAATATGAGAAGCCTCCTGTGTTCCCTCGGTGACCACCTGCACAGTTTCTTCTCTTTGACCCTGGAGCCCGGCCGGAAGTTGGTGTGCATCATGGGAAGAGCTTCTGTTAGGTAGATAATGCATTGTTAGATAGGATTACATTGATTGTAACCCCATAACCATGTTTATGGTTATGTTTTAAATGGCATTGAATCTTGCCAGAGTTGTAAGCTGCCTTGAGTCCCCCTGTGGGGATAAATGAAGCAAATAGATAAATAAATTGTGTAATACTTTTGGAAAAATACAGTTCTAATTGACATGTGGCCACACATCCACTGAAGATACACACATCCACTGAAGGGACAGGCAAAGGAAGTGAGTCATGACTATGTGACAAGTATGACGAGAGTTACATCATTCACTGATGAAAACTGAGTTAAGGAGTTTTCTTAAACAGTGATTGGTACCAGGTCCAGTCGTGCTATGCTTGGGTTGATTTTTGTAGCTCGCCTCCGAGACACTCAGTCCAGTGTTCAGCGTTAGGGAGGGTGTGATTGAGGAAGGAGAAAACTATAAATCACAGACCAATCCTGTGGTTGTTTTTTCCAACAGCCCTGTGGTGAAAGGGGAGAAGAAGTGGCATAGGATGGGTAAATCAGCCTGTCTGATGAGGTCGTAAGCCTGATCTGCTTAGCATGGGTTGAAACATTCAAATAAATACGGGGTAGAAAAATACTGTGAAACTTTAAAATTATAGCATATCCTCCTTGTCTTATTTTCTATTCCTACTGTATGAAGTCATAACACATCCGTCCTTGATTTTTGCTTCATTTTTATCTATTCAGATATTGCCAGAGCAATAGAACTACTGGAGAAACTACAGGAGTCTGGAGAAGTACCCGGACACAAGCTACAGTCACTTAAAAAAGTCCTGCAGAGTGAGTTTTGTACAGCTATCAGAGAGGTATGAAAATGAATTGGTGCTAATATTTATGGGGTAGTAAGGAAAGTATTGTTTATGATTCAAATAGAGTGCTTTTGTACCATGACAATATATGAATGTCACTCTATGGTAAGAGCTATTGGTTTGTATTCAGATTCGTCACAACAAATAGAAAAAATGGAATTCTGTAATAATGCAGGAGATTGATCTGATGCTGTCTATATCCACCTGCCAATATATTTATTTCTCAGCTAAGGTTTATGTCCATAGAAGAGTTTATTATTGTAGAAATTTTGATACTGTAGTTGTTCCTATCAAACAAAGGATATTAGGAACAATTCTGCCAGAAGGGGTAAGATAGAGGTTTGTTAATTAAGACTGAAATGCTAGGATTCCTAAGAGCTATGACTGGTTGGATCTACGCTGTCATATAATGCATTTTGGAGCAGTATTATACGGTGAGTGTAGACCGATATAATACAAATTAAATGCATTGAACTGAATTACATGGTCTTCAGTGGTCATATTATGCAGATTCAAACTGTATTGTATGACAGTGGCATTCCAGCCACTGTCATACAATACAGTGGCTCCCTCTATCAGCTCCAGCTCCTCATGCGGGGACATGAGAGAAGCCTCCCACAAAGATGATAAAACATCAAAACATCCTGGCATCCCCTGAGCAATGTCCCTGCAGACAGTCAATTCTCTCACACCTGAAGTGACTTGCAGTTTCTCAAAGTCGCTCCTGACATGACAAAAAAAAATCCAAGTTAAAGTACTCTGAAGTTGCTTCAGTGCATGCCAGGAGCACTGATAGCACATTGGAGCTGTCGTCACAATCCAGTGTCCACAGATACACCACCAAAAAGCAGCTTCCTGTCACAGAGCACTTATGCTACAAATCCATCCATGCATCATCTATACTCCCTGCAGCAGCTGAACAAAGAGTCTTGTTTATTATTTTCTGCATACACAGGATTTTAGACCTCTTTCTGACAAACTTCGGAAATGCCTGCATTAGAAATGCTTCCACTGTTGGAAGTCAAGTGACAGTGGAAGAAAAGGGCAGCATTGTAAGGACATGCTGGGAGATACTATGGGATAACAGAGGACCCAATACATTGCTTTAATTTCCCTTTTCCTAGTGGTGGTGGGAGGGGAAAAAATGTAGCAGGAAAAAAAGAAGAAAATATCCTTCATATCTTTGTTTTGCTAGCAAGATCCTACCAAGAACAGGGAAAGATGGTTTATCTGCCTCAGATTTCCCTTCTCCCCCCTCTCCCAGAAGAATAATTATTTGTTGATTCATAATCCAAAGTAAATGTGTTAATCTTTTATTATTTCATTCTCTTATGCAAACATGAATAATTGAAAAAGTCCTCTCAGTACTGGAGGAGATTGCAAAGGTTTTTGTGCAATTTTCACATTTGGACTTTTTTTGGTGTTTTTTGTTTTGTTTTTTCAAAAAGCATTCTCTTGTGCAGGAAATGTTTAATTTTGTGCAAATACTCATTTTTGTGCAGATATGTTATTTTGTGGACAAACCGAATTTCACAAAAAGCCCCCAATTAACAACAACAAAATCCTTGAAAATCTTTTTAGGGAGTTCTGAACAGTCACCCATTTTTGATGAAGTTGAGAACATGTGTGGGAATGTAAACTATGTCCTTTTACTCATTAGAGAACTCTCTAATGAATTAAATGTTGTCAGTTTTGTAGATGGTTAGGCACAAGAGATACATGAACCTATGTTTTTCAAAGTGTGGTTTATTTATTTTCCAAATGTAGCTGTCTCTCTGTCATCAATGTATCTATTTACCTGTCTGTCTAGTTCAGTCTAAGCTAAAGGTTAGATGACAAGTTAAATTATTCTGGAATATTGCTTGAAAATGCTTTGTATCTGAAAACATTGGCTATGTTTTGTTACTCTGATATCAGTGAGAATTTTATTTATTTAAGCAACAGGAACATTAACCTCTGGGGTACTGAGGCAATGGCAGTGCATGAACTAAAACACCATATTTAATGAAAAAAAATCTGTTGATGGCTACAAGAAACAGCAAGTCTTGTGTTCAACAGCCTTGTATGGAATTGTTTTCCATCTATTTTAAAAGGAATATTAAGCACAATAGCACAATAGTGCTTATTATACTTTGCAAAATGTACTCACGAGGAAGGCATCTTATTTATCATAGGTTTTTATTTCTGTGGTTCAAATTGGTGTCAGTATCATGAAGAGAAGCTTTAATATTTCTGAAACACTGTCAGAAACATTCTATATTCATTTGTGAAAGGAATTCTGGATGGCAGCCAGCATGTACTTCTTTCTAGCAGGTACAAAATCTAGGAAACCAGGAAATGTCTTAGCTTTTAGTTCATTCAAATAATAGATAATCAAAGCCGATCTGGCAAGATAGTGAAGGTTCTTATCGACTATTATTCAATGGTAAATTATTTATTTATGTTAGTAATACAAAAATAAAGTAAACTTACCAATTCAACCTTATTCTTGTTCTGTTAGAAAGCTAGGCTTCTGGGTTCTATGGATTTCAAAGAGTCTTATTCCCAAGAAAGTGGGTATAGGATTGCAACATGCCAGAGAAATCCCATGGAAAGGGAGATCATTCTTTTGTGGGGGAATTGTCACATACTAAGCACTGACCACATGCCAGCCAGGTTGGAAGGAGTTTTTGCAAGCTGGCTATGGACTTGTGGCATCTGGGTAATCACCACAATTGTGATTCTGGTGCCAAAGCAAAAGAAAGTACTGTAATTTTTTCTCCAACTGGAGAAACAAAGGAAAAACTGCAAAATGTGTGCCACCTTCATTGGCTATAATAATGGTATTTGGTAACTAGAAGAAATGTTAGTCCTTGTATACTTTCAGAATGAGCCATTTTTCATAAGAGGAGTAAGGTCACCAGCCAAAATATCTGAATTCCAACAAATTTGAAATGAAAGGTGTTATTTCCCTCCAAAACTGGTTACTATGCTCCAGTATTGCTATCAGAAAGCTCTGAATAGTGTGAATCAGAACTTTGAAGAATGATTGCCTTTTCATGTATCAGCCTGCTTGCGTTAATTGCAAATTACATGAGTGGGCCAGGCTATCCAGGCTTTATTGAAGGGGAAGCTTTGTTCAGCCTATTTTCAGTTACTATATCCTGATGACTTCACCACAGGAGATCTAAAATGACTGCTACTGTTACTTTTTATCTTGTGGTTTCATAGATAATCGCAAATGTAGTGCCCCAGAATCCAGAGTCAGATCAAAGAGCCGATGTTTAATCAGAGCTCCATTATTGATTTTGAGATTTCAAAAGAAAATCAATTTTCAGAGGGGAGAGGGAGGGAAGCGCATGCTTTCAGCTGTGCTCAGAGTGCTTAGCCAAACCCTGGGGGAGGAAGCAAAAACTAATGAAAATACTAGTGCAAAAAGCTTGACTAGCTAATGGTAAAATATTGATACGTTTCTCTTGTCAGTCCTTTAAATACACTCAGGGTACTTTCTTTCAAAATAGTTTCTAATAAACAATCCATATTGGGAGAGAACGGTTCCGTATAGATATTTCTTCAATTGTTGTTATGTAAAGGTTGTTTATTGTGTGAGGTTTGTTTATGTGCTCTGCCAACTTGTTTTGGAAGTTGTTAGACAGTTCTACTTAGTCATGCATCTCTATAAATAAAAATGTAATGTTGGTTTGTGGGATTAACTTAATTCAAAAACTACTGGACGAATTGCTACCAAATTTGGCCACAAGAGACCTACTAACCCAAGGAGTGACCATCACTCAAAAAATTGATTTTGTCATTTGGAAGTTGTAGTTACTGGGATTTATAGTTAATTGATAATCAAAGAGCATTCTGAACTCCACCAATGATGGAATTGAACTAAGTGTGGCACACAGGACTCCCACAAGGAACAGAAAACACTAGTAGGGTTTGGTGGGCATTGACCTTGAGTTTGGGGGTTGTAGTTCACCTATATCCAGAGAGCACTGTGGACTCAAACAATGATGGATCTCGACCAAACTTGGCACGGATATTCCATATGCCCTAATTTGAACACAGATGGAGTTTGGGGAAATAGACCTTGGCATTTGGGAGTTGTAATTACTGGGATTTATAGTTCACCTACAATCAAAGAGCATTCTGAACCCCATGAACGAAAAAATTGGGGCAAACTTCCCATACAAAACCCCGTGACCAACAGAAAATACTTAAGGCCATCCAGTCCAACTCCCCTCACCAGGGCAAGAAAATATAATCAAAGCCCTTCTGACAAAGAGCCATCCAGCCATAGATATAGATAGATATATATGATTCACACATACACAGATATAGTATCATAGATTTGAAAGGGACCCCTAAAGAAGTACAATAATACATTGCATGTTCCAGAGTAGGCAAACCAGACAATCTCTACATCAACATTTACAAAGAAACAGCAAAAAAAATAAAAGGACTAAAAGCATGGTACACATTTGGGGAGTTGTGATGGGGTTTGGTGGGTTACAGCCCAATAAAGTAAGATAATTAGGTTGTCTAGCCTCTCACAGTGCCCACTCTGATATACAACAACACTTCAAGACAAAAAAATTGGAGCCACTCTTAGCTTGAGGGCCCAATTCAATTTTAGAATATTGGGAGAAATCACCCTGCAGTGGTAGGCAAGGCCAAAGACAAATTAAAACTGTTGCTGTCAGTAATGCAGTCTTAGGAGAAATATGCCAACCTTTCAGAAAAGTATAGAAGCATGCACAAAATTACCAAGTAGTGCTTATATAGGAAAGAGGCTATGGATCCCAAGAGGGGCAAATTATAATTGAGGAGGGCTCCATTCAAACATTAGTTCCCACTTCTGCATCTCCAATATTCTCATCATATTCTAGGACTCTCCATGTCTTAGTTGTGTGAATGGGGATACATGCAAATGGGTATGCATTTGATCTAAAGGCAACAGGGATGCACTACCAGATTTTCCCACACACTCCTTCATCTGGTGCCCATGCCTTAGA